GCGAGAAATCTCCGTAGGCTTCTTGGGATTCCAAGTCATCGAGTGCTTTGAGCATGTGAAAGAGGGATTTCTCGAACAGATCGGTCAATCCCAACGAATCAGCCATTTGGCACAGCGACAAGCAATTGTCACTATCCACGTGCCGCAGGAGGACTTCGTTGGTCGCCTCCAGGACTTTGTGGCATTGCAAATAATGAGCGATATGACAGCAGTCCACCACAAACTGGTCTTGCATTTGCTCCATGGAGAGATTGTCAAACGCCAAATCCAAAAAATGTTTCACGCTGTCTGCCGAATAATCCGTCAGCGAAAGCAACACGGGACTTTCCTCATTATTAGCATTCCCCATGTACCGTCGTGACGATGCCATGGTAAAGACCGTGTCGCAGACTTGCGCGAGGGCTGCCAAGGAGACTCGAAAGGGTTTGGTGGTTGCTCCAACATCAATCTCCAATATTTCCCCCTTCCACGCTTCCAACAATTTGCGCTTCATGGATTGTTGCTGTTCTTCGGCTTTCAAGGCTTCTTTGAAAATATCGGCGTGGACTTGTTGCTGATACTCGTCTTGGGCTTCGTGCTTGGCGTGTGCTTCAGAACGATTCAAATCCGAAAGGAAGGAGCCACATTCGGCCGGACCTACATCGTCGGCTGCTCGCAGCCCATTGAATCGGAGCCAATCATCAATATCTTGGATCTGTAACAAGGGTGGAAGTGGCTGTTGCGCCTGGGCATTGTTGTTGTTGTTGTTACCGTCGGCCATGGTGCTACTACAACAAAAAACGTTTTGTGTATTGGAGGTGAACACGCAGCACGAAGCAAAGATCCCAGGTACGAGAATTAACCCTATTTTCGCAATTCGGTGTCACTGCACTGTTTTACTATAAAAAAATTATCTCTATATCCTGAAGCTCGCTTTGGATGCCGTAAAGACTAGATGCTAAATAAAATAATTAATACTATCTAATCTCTTAAATCCAGCACTCTTGAACCAAACCTCGGAGCCTCGGAGGAAGCTGACCTCGGCTCTTCACACAAAAAAGAGGTGACCATGACGTCTTCCTCCGGTCTACTTTCGACGCTGCTACTCCTCGAACTGATGATTAACAAGCAGCTGCCTTAGTTGTAACGCTTCTTAGGCATGGGGGACATCTTCATGGCGGGCAAAATATCTTGGGTGAGGCCTTCCAGCTCTTCAAAGGAATCGAAAGACTCGTCGGCCGATTCGGTGGTTGCTTCCATCATCTTGTCGTTTCCGAAGATGCGGATGGTGACAGTGTAGTCAGTGTGGGTCATGAGAACAATGCAGTCGGAAGTGGCACTGCAGAGACGCTTGACCTCTCCGTGGAACTGGCAAAACCCAATGAAATCGACAAACTGATCCTTCGGCCAATACACAAATCCAGGAAGGGTGACAAGCATGGTCACATCACGATGGTTGGCGTACTCTTCCACCGCGGCTTCAACCCCATCTTGAAGGTGCAGCTGCGAGTCCATTGGGAGAGGCTTGAGCTTGTAAGCAAAGGCAGAAAGGACAGGAGTCTTCTCTGGGACGTCGACAATCGTAACGTGCAAGTCTTTCGAAGAGAAGCCCCTCTTTTGGCAGTAAGCGGGCTTTTTGGTCGGCATGGTGATCTTCATGGTTGCGAAGGAACGAAGGAAAGTTTGATACAAAGGGGAGTTATCTGGTGGGATGGGATCCAGATTGTGAGACAATCAAGTGATGCGGTCGAGTGGACGCATTGGTTGAATCGCACGCATTGGATTTTCTTCAAAACCTCGATTTAAATTTGAACCAAAAGGCGCCATCCAAACCGAAGATAGCCATCAAGCAAACCGATAAAGCTCACAACATTGACAGGATGGTCTTCTCTTGGAAACGACTTGCTTTGGTTTCTGGCGCCCGGCTTGGTGAGCAAGTTAGGTCCGTCGGGACGATTTCTGTTCTCCTTGGTGGCAGGGAGATTAAGCGAGTGGTTGGCCCAATTGTTTTGGAACAGTTGAAGCAGACTTCGCTCTTTCGCATTGCTGTGCTTGATCAGGAAGAAGCCCTCAAGATTGACGGATGGTGCATGCCGACTGATAGTGTTTGGAGGGTGGGGCTACCAAGGAAAGTGAGAAGTGCCAACTCTGGTTTGCGAGCAGTCAGGATCGAGCTTACTTTTACCACCACTCAAGAAGGCTTTGATACCATCATTGTTACCATGCCATTTGACGGAGAGACTGGATCGGCTTTGGCTTTTGGAGAGGCGCTTTCGTATGCTTGCACCGTCGTCAATGACGATCTGATCAGCCTCGACCGCGACCCGTATTAAAGAGGAGGCAACATCGTTATGTTAGAACGTAAGAATAAACAAATATTAGGATCTATATTGCCAGTCTTTAGCTTCCTATCTTCCAGGTGGCTACAATACCACTGTTTATGGATGCTGTCTGGGCTGCTTGTTGCCGCTGCGTTGCTGGGCTGCTTGTTGCCGCTGCGTTGCTTGTTCCTTCGAACTTGTGGATGCACGCATTGAAATTGCCACCAACATCGACTGGCTTATTTTTGCAAGTCAGCATCGTGTCTCATGAGATATATTTATTTAAACCAAAAATGCTAAAGATTTAATGTCAAGTTTCGTGTTTAAAGAGCGCCTGACGAGTTCCACTAGAAAACCTCATTACGACAATTTTGGCAAGTCTATCGAAACTGTGTTCTCACATCCAACCCACAACCAAGCACAACTCCACGATGACAGAATAAACAACCTTACGACCGTAGTTTTGTCTATTGATAGATCCAGGTCAACTCAAGTCTCCGTCAACAATACAAGAACCATGAGCTCCAAACGGAAGTCCGACAAGAAGGTGCAGCGGGCTGCAATGCTTCTCAAGCTGTCGAAGAAGGGATCGGCAATGACGGTCAATCAAGCTATGGAATTTGCGGGGTATGAAGACGACGAATTGGGAAACCAAGCCACAAAGAAAGCAATTTATAGAGCAAGAGATTCCATGGAAACACCAGAGAAGAAGCCTCAAACATCAAGGGCACTAGTAGCAGTTCCTGCGAACGAGCCTCCTCCACATGGGATGCAAGCTCCGGTTGCGAGAAGAATCGTCCACGCTGTCGCCCCCACTGCTCCATCAAAAATGCGACTAACTTGTCGACAAGCATACGGACAGCGACAGCATGACGCAGAACAAAAGAAGCTTCGACAGGAAATCTTTCTTGAGGCCTGTAACATGTGGAAGGAGGAGTGCGACAAGAAGGAAGAAGCCGTGGCGAGGGGCGAAAAGTATCGACCCAAATCAGCTGAAGACATTTGTATTGAACTAAATCAGCAACACAAGGACGTTCTAGACAAACGCATATCACCACGAACCGTCCGAGAACACGTCAAAGATGGCAGAGTTGGTGGTCTACAGCGAAGAGGACCAAAAGGAAGAATTCCAGAGGACTTGTACCGAGCGCTATGCGACGCAATCAAATCCTACGCTATCCTTTCACAACAAGAGGCTACAAAGGTATCAAATCTTAGGCCTGGTCTTATCAAGAAGCTCAATGCGGTTGTAAAGAGCAAAGAAGGGCCCGATTTGAGACCAGGAAGGAAGCTTTTTGAGCGGATTGAAAGAGATGTCGCTGATGAGATAGACCTTGGCAAACCCAACCGAATCGAACAAAGGAGAGCCAAGTGGAGTACCTACAGTAATATCAACCAATGGTTCACCGCTTTCAAGGATTTCCTTGTTCAACATGGCTTTGCGGAGCATGTGCCTGAAGAAGAATGGGCCGAACGTGGAGAGCTTGTCTTTGGAGTTGGCCAAGACAAACGGATAGCCAACATTGATGAATCACTGCAATACACGGCTCTTAGCCTTATTCGCGACTCGATCCTAGATAGGGTTTGAGTTCGACTCATATACCTATTCACGAGAGACTCCAGTC